ATTTGTTCAGCCGGTTCAGGCTGTTCGAAAGCGCGTCCCGACAACTTCTTAAGCGCGCTTTTCCAGCTTTTCCACCCCACAGCCGCATTCCTGTGCCCACCGATGAGCACGGATTTTTGTTTAATCCCTTCGCTCAACATATCTCGTTGTTCTACCCCACGTCAGCCTGTGAGTCAGGTTTTCCACGTCACCCCGACCAGCGTTGCTGGTGGAGCGGTTTGCAGCCTACCCTCTCTCCCTCCCTCCTCCTTGCTACGTCACGTGACCGGTTGTGGTCAGCGACGAGCCGGGTCAGCTCCTCGCGGGGAGCTTCCATGGAACCGGCTCGGCGCGCGGGCTGACCCCACTTGGCGGAGCGGCCCCGCCGCCCGGCCGGTCAGCCGGACTGACGATGGCTCACAACGGGCTCACCGGCACGGATTGCAGCCCTAAGTGTGCGACCGGACCGGATGATCGAACGGAGACGGAACTGGTAGCTGCAGCGACTCACGAATGTACAAGGGATTGAAGGACGAAGTAAGCCGTCCAGTCCGATGGCTAAGTTGTCATTATTATTGGTACGATGACGACTGACAAGGCAGATATTTACGCAATTGTGTTTTCACAAGTATGAACAGCTTCGGACATTAGTTTGCCTTGGGACGTTTTTTTATGACCCGTAGCGCGCATTTAAACGGCATTACACCCAAACGGACGGTCTCGTTACATGAGAGAGGACAATGGCTTGCGGATAAGAGCGCCAGATCGGCTTACGAAAGGATCCCGATGAGAGTGATACCGTTCGCGGCGTTTCCAAGGAGATTCACGACGAATAAAGTAAACTTTATATATCGCTCATTCGCGGCAGTTCCCCCACCAAATCCACCGAATTTCAGCAGAGTGAGTATGCGCAGGATTTCTCGAAGCTGTTTAGCAAAGAAACGTTAAATACCTACTAAATGGCTACAGTCAGGGGCTAATCAAGCTGCGGTAAGTGATTAGATTGGGAGCGAAATATGGTAATGGAGCTAGGACTCCGCCCACATTTGACATTTAGATCAGGAACAGTTACCAGCTTATGTCGGTTCTCATGACCAACCCGATGTGCATTTTTTGTTATCATTAATTAGATTTAAACACATCCCCAGCTCCCAGCTCTAACTCCATCGAGGCACTCTATGATCATGCAGACCCTCCCGACTCACGGCTCATGAGTAGCGACTGACCTTTTCGATATGAGGCGGCTGGCGTGCAGACTGGCGTAGCCATACTTGGCGAGGTGCTTGGCGCGGGGCCGCTGTCGGTTGAAGGCGGCCAGGTACGAGCCGGGCTCGTCCGGAGACAGGGACAGACCTGCCGAGGAAGTCGGTCGTCACTCGGGAGTCAGAGTCACCGTCACAGCGCGCCGGTCGGAGTCCGTCCCGTCGGCTGGCGGAGTCGCGTCTGCCGCCGGCCCGGACGGACCGACGGACCGGCCCACCGCTGGCCCACTTCACATGGACGGCCAGTGCGGTCGGTCGGCCGGCGAGCCGACCTGGATAGGAGCCGCGGCCGGGGCCGGTGAACCGGGACCGTCAGCCGCCCACTGACCCGGAACGCAGCGCCCGAGAGCGGGCCGACCGACCGCCGCGCCGGCTCCCGGAACACCCGCCGCTCATGGCGCAGTTCGCAAAGACTTAACACGCGCGCATACTATGCACTGTTATAAAACAACGGCTTTGCTCAGCGAACTTGAGCACAATACGAGCCGTGCTTCGTGAACGAGTTCCATACATGTGTCAGAAAGAACTATAACATCCACGTGAGTAAGCGTAACATTATAAATTTAATTTTAAGTGTTTATCTTATTTAGGTCTTTATTTACTTATATCATTGCTTATGTCTTGCTCAATGGCACGTTCTCTGTTACAGACGGAAACAGTTTGATATCAGCATTCACTTGGTAATTTGGCAATCGCAGTAAGCGTGGTGGATGGGCACGCGGGTCGCCCAGGTCTGTCCTGTTACTGAACCCTCTCCATTTCTGCGCTCGGGACTCTGGTGTCCCGGAGCCGCTCCTGTTGTCGGCTGCCCTGTCTGGTGCTCGTTTTTGTCCACGGGGCGTGACCCGCCGTGTCGGCTGGGCCACCGAACTGGGCCACCGTAGAAGTAGGTGAGGAGGCGACCGTTAACGGTCCTACCGCCAAGGCACGATCGTGAAGAACAAGACGGAACGATAGTCATCGCGACAACCGTGACGCAGCCGGGCGTCAAGGAGGGAGGAGGGGACTCATGATTCTCCGCTGCACACTGAGGCAGCGACCTGGAACGGTGAAATTCATACACCAGCCGCGGCGTCCAATTATGAGCAGCGGAGACGCTCCGTGGCGCGCCCGTCACGCCGGGCCGTCACGCGCTCGTGTCGCGTGCGGCACACATGTGACCGGCGCGTGACGGGACGCTCTCTTGCCGGCGACTGAGACGCTCTCTTGTCCTCAGCGACAGAGCGCTGAGGACGTCACGTGCAGTGCCTCGTGCCGGAGTTCCGGCGCCGGTCGATCGTTAGTCAGCTCTCGTTGGAAAGAGACGGGCTCGGCCGCGATTATGAGCAACCATCCCCCGGGAAAATGTTGGCGGAAGGCGTTACCAGCCGCTCGTTGCCAGCTTATTTAGCTATTTTTGTACGGCCTCCACCAGTAGACAAAACATGGCTTAAAGTCCCGTTCTTATGCCCTATGACCTAACGAAACACTATTTCCACAAAGTTGCGCTACCGTTGCGCTCGTCAAATGATGTTTTACGCAACGCATTTACCGTCGAGAATGCATCCAACCACGGTGTCTTTAACTCAATGACGTGGGAAGGATGCCAACAGGGACACCGAACTGTATAGTTTATCACCGAACACTAAGCAGTTGTGCCTATTTGGAGGCAAACCGCTGTAAAATTGCGCCGGATGTGGTACGGGTCGACGGAAACCGCAGTATTAGTTCTCATATACCGACGGCCTCGGAGCGGCCGGCCGGAGCTGAACGGAGCTCGGCGAGTCCGGCCGGACGGTAAGACGAGCAACGCTTTGGAGTTCTGGGGCCCGGCACTACTGTCGTGTTACACGATCGGTTTTGCAGTTACAAACAAGGTGCAATATGTAATACGCTCATTTGCAATATGTTGACAGCCTGCTGTTCGTTGGTGGAGAAGATAAGTCAATCAAAGTTAATCGGTCTATCATTATGCATATTGACTGTCATGGAGAATAGTTTATACGTAATTTCACCCCTATTCAAATTGTTATGACAACAATTCAATACCACTTAAGGTAAGTTTCTCCCGTTTACATCTAATGAGCATAAGAATAAATGAGTGCTGTTGTGGTGCTCGAGAACAGAAGTCACCGGCCGCCGTTATACACAAATATTCACGTATTGTACTCACCATTGCCGTCATGATTCTATCAGCGATGACACCAGTCACCGACTCAGCTTCAATACTGATACTGCTGTCCTGAGCGTGTGTGTCTACTGGAGGCGTCACCACTACTGACTGAGGGAGCGGCGGGTCGGCTGGCAGCTGCCGCGCGCGACGCCCACCCTCCACCACTGCTGAGGAGAAACTGCCACCACCACCGCCGCCGCCGCCGCCGCCGCCGCCGCCGCCAACGGCAGACGACCGGTGAGCGGCCGTCACGTGATCGTCGTCACAGCGCCACCAAAGCACCACGTGACACTATAGCGGACGCACTGACCCCAATCGTACCGATTTCTCGCCGGGGCTGTTTGGCGGACTCGGTAAAAGAACTGGCTCGTGGCTGACCGTCCGGGCGACTCCCGACCGGTGACGTCCGGTTATCGGCGGCGACTCAATCCGCATTCCAGGACGATGCACATCAACATGGCTAATAATACTTAATGTAAGTATAAAGGTGTATGTGTATGTATAGGTGACATATACCTATCTTTTTTGTTGTTGCATCGATGAACGTCAACCCACACCAAAGTTGAAACCGGTTACCTATATCTAAAATGTTTGCTTTAGCGATGATTAACGGTTAATAGGTTCGACTTTGGAGCAATATAATAGATAAATAAAGTATAAACTGATTGACTGATGTAAGAAATGCAAAATTCCAGCCTTTAAACTCACTTTTGATTATTAAGGCGCTAAATGCCATACGAGGGTAGGTACGGTTGTTTTTAGGATAACATCTGCCTAAGAACTCCGTTTATTAAATTTGTTGACTAACTCAGCTCAAAACATTAGTACCTAAGCATATACGATCTCAACCCTATGCGGCGTAAGATTACGGGCGCTAATAGATTCTACATACTGGTCAAAGACGAGAAGGAAGGCTCCTACAGGCACTTCCACGTTATATTTTCAATATACCCCGATTCGCGCACTTAATGAGCAAAAAACTAATAGCTTCCACCGACCACCCAACGTAAGCATTAGGACGCGGGTGGAGCACCTTCGACTGGGAAATTCCATATATCCGTACTCCGATACCTCTCAGTTCCACAGCAAATGAGCACAGCCAAAGATAATCTGAGTCGGCGGCCCACCAGGGTGCCACAAGAAGTTCGTAAAATCCACCGTTAACGCTGGTGCTTTTTCTCTGTAAGCAAAAAAAAAACGTTGATGTGCATGTATGTCCGATAAGTTGTCCCTAATTAAGCGGCAGTCAAAAAGGCAGCTTGCTGTGGCAGGCACATTAAAAAGGGCATCTCGGTGTAGTTTCCACAACAAATTTGGAGCGTCTATAGATCTATTACCTATGGAACTTGCGTTTGGCACATCTCTCGAATTAATCCTGTCCTTCCATTATGCTATTACACTTGTGTCTTTTACATTGTCATACCCACCGGTTATCAATTTTGGGATACTTGTCTATCAGGATATAAACTAGAATATTCACTGTGACTGTTCGGAATACGGATCTATCAAAGCCCAATGTTATTATGAGATTACTTTGCAAGTCAAGTTGTTTTTCTACCTCACTTCCCCGTACGCTTTGCTCTTTTCTTTGGATATTGATATGCACTTCAAGGAAATGCGTGTGGCTATGATGACTCATTATGTAACCAAAGAACCATAATTAATAGCATTGTCCCCAGTGTTTTGATTGCTGTTACCCTAATCCCACTACACTGGTGTTGTAGTGGAGTAAAGTACCTGGCTTCGTTAACAATAACGATGCGATTATATACAACATGATCCCCTTTTCTCATGATTGGGGGTGGAGTCAGGTATCTACCTAAATGTATTGCGATCTGTAGCTACATCCCGCGCTAAATGCGCGTTTGTTATTTGGTAGAGCAATAATCAGTGATCACGTATTATCCGGGTAGCCTGAAAATGCTAGAAAATACAGAACTAGGAATACCATGTGTGATAGATGTGCTTCTTGCACATCTATCACACCAAGTCAATACTATCATGTGATAAGAATAAGCTTTGCTACCGTATCTCTCTCCCTTGTGCTGGCCGGTCAGCCTGCCCAGACCACGCCGGCGCGGTCAGTAGCCGTTCCGGAATAACCCACAAAAGGGAGCGGGGTGGCCCGCGGGCGCCGCTGTCGGCAGCCACGCTCACCAGCCCGTCCGTCTGTCCGTCTGTCTGTCTGTCTGCCGCAGTCTGTCTGTTTGTCTGTCTGTCGCGCTGTGGCGGCGGGCTGTGGCCGCGCCTCTCTCCACGCCTAAGCCCCCGACACTTCGAGCTGCGGCCAGCCGAGCCCGACTAGAGAGCGCGCGGTGCGGTGCGTGCGACCATACACCCAGCTGACGCGCCGGGTGCATCCCGTCACCAGACGGCACGCTTTCTTCCTGCGGCTGTCATTGGTGCAATGAGACGGCAACATACATCTCAATGTGGCCGGTGGTGGAGGGTGGAGAGACGGGCGTTCGTCTGTGTATAACTCATTGAACGGTGAGCACATCGGATGTGTGTAAACGCCGGGATGTTTACATTTTACAACGCAAGGTACTGCGGGGCTGGTTTCATCCATGACAGGAAATGATTTAAGTGGTAGAACGCATCACTGCATCACACTCACCACTAGTTCAGTCGGAAGGAATTACACTCAATTCATTTATACCTATTTATACCTTTTTTATTTGCAAGTACGGATGGATACTTTCATAAAAAAATGTTGATATTTAGTATGCTTTTTTTTGCTCTCGCTAGCAATATTATTACCAGTATAGCGCCTTTTGGGGCGACTAACGGAGCGAGCGAAGGGGTGAGTCTTGCACGTGCGAAATTTCGAGGGGGTACCTCCAACTGACTTGTGCAGGGCACCCTACTGACTGGTCTCTAGCGATGTGCCAAATTTGGGCACAATCGGCCCAGCCGTTCTCGAGATCTGGAAGCGGCACCCTGCACGTGCGCACGTGCAAAATGGGTCCCAACTGACTTGTGCACGGCACCCTAGTAACCGGTCCCTAACTGTGTACCAAATTTGAGCGCAATCGGTCGAGCCGTTCTCGAGATCTGGAAACGACCCCTGCACGTGCGCACGTGCAGCGGCACCCAACTCTGGCACATGGATATGCAGTGCCTAGTGGGTGCCTACCTACATGCCAACTTTCAGCGCAATCGGCCAAGTAGTTACCGAAATATTGCAACAATTACAAAAGTGACACCTCTTCGTTTTGCACGTGGCACGTGCATAAGGGGTCACCCACATGCATCGGGAATAGTCCAATACTTGGTAGAAGGAATGAAGCTACCCTACAAAAATTACCGCATGTATATCGGTCAAGTGGTTGCTGAGATATAAGCCTCGCAAAAGCGTCCGCACGGCCGGCCGGCCGGCCGGCCGCTCATACTCAGAAATTTCCGTTATTCTACGTAAGACTCCGCTCGCTTCGCTCGCTCCGTAACTACACTTACCACTTCATGTTCTCTTACCACTTCATATGCAATGAGTTTGTTTTGCCATTAGGTAAAGGCATGATGCATGCACCAATCAGCCTGCTGAAGTGCAGTCGTCCATCATATTGGAGCCTCTGTTACCATCGAGAATATCCGGCGGTGGCGACGGTAGCCATGGCGGTGACGAAAGAGGAGAAACTCGGAGCGCGCGCCGCCGTACGTCGACCTCACCCCCCCCCCCCCCCTATCACTGTCCTGAAGGACCCCCGGCCGGCCGGCCCGTCACCTTGGCCTGGAGGACCAGCACCCTACCACGGCAGTCTCGTAGGACCGGCACCCTGATCGTGTCCATCTTAGACCAGCAACGGTCCTGAAGGATAGACCATCGTCACTGATCTGAAAGACTGTTGTTTGCAAGACTCTGTCCCAGAGCACCGTCGGTTCCTCTATCGCACTCGATGACCAATCGGGCCGCGAGCCGTCATCTGGTGCCCGCCATGGGCTCCGCGCCGCCGCCGGCGATGACCAGGCATCACAATCAGAGGGAAGAGAAAACGGGCCTCTCCCGCCGGCTCTGACCGGCCGTCGTCCAACGCCCGTCGATATGCGCACGAGTGCCATGTTGCGCAAGTGGCGATGTTTTCTCTTCTGACGACGGCTGGCCGGCCGGGAGAGATCCAGAGTCGGACTCGGAAGCGCAGCCAGCCGTGGAGAAGGGCTGTCGTGACGGCGGTGCGGGCTGACTGAATGGTAATCAGAGAAATTTTACTGAGCGCGGGCCAGTCATGGCCCAAAGAACCGCGATATTTTAGAAATGGAACTGAATAACATTAATGATACGGGTTTTCCAGGCTTCTATTCCCATTCTAAGACCGGTCATTTGATGCCCGTTTATAGTTACTTGTGAGTTAAAAGTGCAGACCACATTCCGTTTCGTTCCACTCATTGATTCCTAAATGCCGTCCATTGCTCGAGCTCGGTTAGCCTTTCATAAAGGCATCATCGAGGTAAATTTTCAGCTCCTCATTAAATCTTCCAAACGGAAGTAGAATATACAGCCGGTAGGTATTGGAACTTTCAAAACCCTCAACATCGAGGTAATCATCTAGGTAAATTTTCAGCTCCTCATTATATCTTCCAAACGGAAGCAGAAAATAAAGCCGGTTGTGCAACTTTTAAAACACTCAACAGCATTCAAAATTAAAGTTTCCATTCATTGAGTTTAAACGGACGACCAACAAATATGTTCTCAATGTAATGTTAGCCGTGAATGGACGGTTTACAAACTGTCAGCGCTCGCTCCTCCTCCCTCCCTTTCCTCGAAGTGCCGGCGCCGCGCTGAGGAGGCCGCCGGACGCCCGCCATCGTGGCCATCACCGCTGCCGCGCCGTAGTTTCACCAGCCGAATAAAACGTGGCGCGGCGGGCCGCGCGCGGCGCCGGCGGCCGGGACCGCTTTCTCCCGGCGCCGGGGTCGGTGGCCGAGCGACGTTTTCTCCAGAAAACGTGTCGCTCTTCCGGAGCGGCGCTCGTCGCCGACAGAGGAGGGAGCGAGGGACCGAGAGAGGGAAGGCGGACCACCGTCGCCGCAGAGCGCCGCTTCGACACGGTGCGGCCGCATGTTACGTCACGGCGAACAGTCGAACAGCGCGACACCCGGGGGAAGTTTTTAGCACCCTCCGGCGGTCTGCGGCGGCGGCGGCGGGGCGACTTTCTACAGCGCGGCGCGATGATGCGGCGCACTTCCGTTCTCCAACCGCGTCCGGGGAGAAGGAGCGCGCTGGTGCAAGGTATCCGGCCCGTCCCGGCCCGCCTGCAGTGGAGCGTCTCCTGCACGAGCTGCCACCAGCCGGGACCGGATCGGTCGGCCCGACTGTGACGAAATGCTGCGGCCGGCGGCGCCAGAGGTCGGTGACCCGACTGGGGGCCGCAGTGCCGCTCCACAGCCGCTCCCACATTCCTCCACACGGAGATTCACTACCGGAGCCCCCGGCACCCCGACAGCGAGGCTGACTGACCTGGCACTGGCTGTGCAATGCGCACCTCTGCAGAGCCTGGGAGGGTGCCAACAGCTCATTTGAATGGAAGATAGCCGTGTCTGCGCGCCCATCCATAAACATATTCAGTGTTACGCAGCAGTCTTTTAGGCAAAATAGGCGTGCCAACTGCACAATGCACATGGGCCAAGATAATACGCCTTTATCTTGTCACATCGTCGCTGCATATATTTCTCCTATCCGGCTTCATGCCTTCATCCAATACCTACTTCAATCTTTAGAGGTGTGACACTTCAACGTCGTCATTAGTAGCCAAAGACAGCACAGCTGCCAGTCCGGTAAATAAAACATAACAATAGTTAACACTTAACACGGACGCCAGGTAATCCTAAACCGATGGCTGACTCTCGTTTCTCCCTCTCCTGTCCTTTTAGTTCAGTGCTAGTATGCCTCCAGTCCCGACCATGCTACTACTTCTCTGGAGTTCTCCACAACACCATTTTCCCAGAACGCAGATATAGTGTAGAGAGCTGGGCTTCTCGCAGCGCCACGACTCCTGACTTTCTTACGCCACTTCAAAGAAGCACCGAAGGGCCTTCGGTGCTTCTTTGAAGTGGCGTAAGAAAGTCAGGAGTCGTTAAAAGCGCCGTTGGACATTTGCGTAACCCTCAATGAGTCTTCTTTGGCTGGGCAGTATCCGTTCCATGGTGACTAAGCCGGACATGAGCAAGTTCCGTTAGCGCTGGTCAAGTCCGGGTCAGGTCACATGAGGCCGGAAAGCCACCGGTACGCTCCGGGTCAGCCGCGAGGCAGGGCGTGACATATCGTGTCAGGTAAGGTCAGGTCTGGGCAGCTGAGTCTATTCAGCTTGTGTTAGAAAGAGTCTTATCAGGTCAGATCAAGTCAGCCCGTGCCAGGTCAGGTCAGATCAGCTCGTGTCAGGTCAGGTGCGCAACTCACCGGTGCGGTAAATGTCGGGCTCCAGCACGTCGTACAGGTACTGGGTGTGGTTCAGTCCGAGCTCGGCCAGCGAGATCAGCGTGCTGAGCTCGCGGGTGCCGGGGGTGCCCCTCTGCCGGCCGGCCAGATCGGCGGCCCCCCACTGGCCGCTGGCCGGCCGCAGCTGCAGCCAGCACGCGCAGGCCACTAGCAGCGCCCTGTAATGGAAAAACACGGGTCAGCGGACGGAAACAAGTGCGTAGAGGACGTGGGATAACAAAGGAGTTATTGTGTAAAACGGCCTCAGACAAAACGATCTCAGTTGACCTACTCACTACGCCGATACCTGAGAAAAGGCAGGTACGTAACTATAACAGGAGCTAGGCTGTGTTTATGTTATTGAGCTAGAATCAGTGTCTCCGTTGCAGCCTTGGAAGTCACGACAGTCAGCTATGTACTCACGTTTCAAGACTAAATGGTAAAGGCAAACTAACCTTCCGGGATCGGACGTTTTTATAACAGCGTTCGATTTCCGCATTCGCTGGCGATTTAATTAGTGACGTAACGGTATTTGATGAAATGATACCAAGGCGATGTGTTGGGAAAAGCTTTGGAAGTTCCTTTCATGGAAATGGGGGGAAAGAGAGAGAGAGAGAGAGAGAGAGAGAGAGAGAGAGAGAGAGAGAGAGAGAGAGAGAGAGAGAGAGAGAGAGAGAGAGAGAGAGAGAGAGAGAGAGAGAGAGAGAGAGAGAGAGAGAGAGAGAGAGAGAGAGAGAGAAGGAAGAGAGGAAAAAGATGAAGAATAGAAAAATTGGAAAAAGTTTAAAAAAAAACGACAAGAATAACATTGAGGAAAGGTTAATTATAAGATAACAACGAATGAAAATGAATGAACCGTATATGTGCTGAGATCAATCAGAAGTGAGCTGACCGGCAACTCTCAACCCTACCGCATCCCTACGCTGAACCACCGATGACATTATGTAAATACAGAGAGGCCCGAGTCCTGGTTCGTGTCCCGGTGCCTCGGCGGCCGTCCCGGAACGTCAGTTGTCGCGGTCACGGGTGAGCGCCCCTGACTGACCTCTAGCTGGCCCGCACCGACCCGAACTCTAGCCGACACGGCCTCTGAGTAACGGTGGACGGGTGGCAGAGCTGGGAGCTGCGGAGGACAGAGCCCGGAGCTCGGAGAGCGAGAGCCCGGAGCTCAGAGAGCGAGCTCTCGAGAAGGTGGAGAAAATGTATTGTGATATCTTGGCCGGCTCCTGGCCACTGCTATATTGTTAAAGTGTTGTGGCGTAGCGTAACGCTCTGACTGGTGGAACGTATTTTTGAACGAAATAAGCGGCCAAATAAATCACATGTAATTGTGTACATCGCCTGAAACTATGTATTTTGTATGCATTATTTGGCGTAGGCATAGTGCTCTGGTCTATTTTTCATTTGTTCCGTAGCTTACAGTTATCCCTCCAAAGATCCTCTCGATACCTGAGTACATACATGTTTACTGAAATGTCCTAGCCAACCAGCTTCCGCGTAACGACACGACATTGCCCAACCAGGCAGCGGCGGTCTCTAAGGTGCTCAGAATACCAGCAAGCCAGCTCCCCCCGACTCAGATTTGTGAACTGATTTCTTCACACTCCTGAGTTCACTCGAAACACACGACTAACAAATCTTCTTACACGGAAGACATGCGCAAGAAGCACCATTCCACGAACCTTAGCGAACGTACGGACCTTTCTATAAGGGCCGGCGGCGCTAGCGATAACGCATATGGTATGCAGGACGGCCACAGGACCGGTCTCCCGACGACAGGATGGGAGACAGGACATCAGCGTCGTCATCTCGCCGCCACCTCGCCGCGAACGTCCCCGCCGCGCCACTCATGACGCACGACGCGTGTTTTATGAGGGAAAGTTTCGCCGGACCGTGCATGTGAGCTGCTCATCAGCATACCGAGCTGGCGCGAGCGGGTGTTTAAGCAGACAACATTGCGTGGCGCGCAGAATCGGCGCCGCTAAAAACGCGCGATGGACTGGCGGTGCGGCGCGATTTGGTCACCTCTCTCTCTCTCTCTGGCGCTGACGGCGTGCCGACGCTGGGGCGGTCGGTATGCGGTCCACGTGCACTGGTGGTGCTCAGACAGTGCCGCAGCGGGCTGACCCGTGCAGTGCGACTCTGCTATCGCCACCGCCGGAGCTGGTTTCCCACGTACACGCTGCCGCCGCCGCCGGTGTGAGTGTGTGTGAGTGTGTGTGTGTGTCGTAACAGTCGCCGGTTCGGGTATAGTTGTCTGAGTCCTCCGGGGGTGGGGAGGGAGGACCGGGCCCCACACAGCGCGCGTCAGCCACTCGAGGAATGCACCGCCGTTCACCGAGCGCTTTGGCCGGAAATGGCCGCAGACGGGTCCTGCTGCACTCTGAACACATTAGGGCGTGGTGGATATGAACGCTTTAAAATAGCTGCAATAAGGACGCTACTCGCGGGATGGGTTAAAATTAGCGCATCATATCGGAAGCCATAATGCGCTCCATTTCTCCAATTCGCTCCAACATAACTTTAAAGCTATGACGCAGTTTGTCTGCAGCTGACCTTTAAAATGTGTCGATTGCGTCACTGTTTGATAATTTCCCTCCCGAGTTCACCGACACACGGAGAGCCGCCGCGATCCATTGTGATATGATAATGGTCCTCCGCTCACCGAACCAGCCGGTGACGTAACCACCGCGGACGCCATGTCGGTCCTGATATGGCCGCCCGGGCTTCCGGCATCTGTCGGTACATTCTCGCGCCACCTCTCCATTTTGAGATCGCATTACGTCCATGATTGGCCCTGATTTACCCAAACTCACGCATGAGGGTCCGCACTTTAAGTGCGAATTAGCTGAATCTGTTTGCTTTATTGCTATTTTTCAAACAAATTGTGGTTCATTATTTCCTGCATCAGAACAGCAGCCCAGCACATCCTCAATGCCGGTGCTCTTAACCCTCGCACGACCAGGCCATTTCTCATAACACGAACGACCAGGGGGGGGGGTTGTTACGACCCCCCCCCCCTGGCGTTTCGAAACGGAAGGTCGTAGAGCTTAGCGGAGAAAACCAACGGATTGCTCTCAACGAGATCTCGCGATTGGTGGTATATTTTTTGGTCCTAGGTCAACATTTGACTTACTTATGACCGGTCAAAGGTCAAATTTTCCGAAAAAATCAAACTTTTTCAACTTTCCGCGGCGATTGCGGCAAAACGGTGGGAGATATCGACTTGAAACCTTCACTATCGTGTTCCTTGATCAATTCTCTATCGTTTGGTATGTATTTCGTTTCCCTAGCTCTAAAAATGGCGCGTTGGGAGCGCCGGAAGTCGGCAAGGTCACAGTCGGCGGCAGAAATTCGAAAAATCAAAATTTAAATTTTTGAAATCTGATGTATTTTTGGATTTGGGAGGTCCATTTGCTACCTATAGAAGCTAATATTGCTGCATATTCCCATTGAGGTGACAAGAATTAGCAAAATAGTGGTTCGGGCGCTTTTCAAAAATAGTACCGGACGCTGTTCCTCTTGTGACGTCATAGCTCCGTGACCTGACCTGACCCGGTCAATTTTCTTGCACCACACGATAGCCAATGCTTGCCCCAACATGCATGGGAAGTTTCATCATGATCCATCAATGATCCATCAAAACAATGTGGGTATCACCGGCAGAAAACCTAGGGATTCGGCGCACACGTTTGGTAACTGTCGGCCGGAGGCTGTACCTCTTATGACGTCATAACTCCGTGACCTGACATGACCCGATCAATTTTTTTTCGGCAAAAGATGCGCAAAGGTTGCCCCAGAGGGTATTGAAAATTTCAGCCCGCTACGACAAGCCGTTTAGCGTGCACTTCGAAAAAGCCTCAGGGGAGGGGGGTTGATACAACCCCCCCCCCCCTAGGCGTTCTAGGGTTAAGTCTTAACCTTCTTTGCTCCTGCAACCGTATTGCTGGAGCCTGTGGACCTGAGTGTGGAGCCATTCATGCAGATTGGTGTTACTGTGTAACGCACAACTGCAGTCACCATGTATTGCGGCTCACTCTACAACTGCAGTGAGTCCGGCTGACGGAGACTGCAGGGACTACACAGAAAGGTAGCCAAGTACTGCGGCACAGCCTATCCTGTGAATCTTGGCCTGGGCCCTGGACTCCTGGACGCTCTTCGCAATGGATCGAAAGTTAGACAATTTCCAGTCAAAATTGCCCCATGATTTCGTTTTGATCATCTAACAAAATCAAAGACATAATTTCTGATTACGGGCATTCTGAAGCATGATTCACGAATAAGTTTATAAATCACTTTGTTCCAATATTCCTACACATTAAAACATCTAAATATTGTTTTGGGGATTATTTCTCTGCAGTTCTTCCAAGCTTGACGTCTACATAGTACATATAGCCTTTGTTTGCTTTACCTACGAATGTCGAGTGAATAATTCGAAACGTCGGAGCGTAGGTATTTGACGGCATGAAAGTTCTCTCTCTCTCTCTCTCTCTCTCTCTCTCTCTCTCTCTCTCTCTCTCTCTCTCTCTCTCTCTCTCTCTCTCTCTCTCTCTCTCTCTCTCTCTCTCACACACACACACACACACCCATTCCCTCTTTTTCTTAACCGAGTAAAAAGGACCATAAGCAAAAATTATTCCATCGCAACCACGTTCCCTTTGAATTCATCAATAGTCATCTTCCTCACGACTTCCCACCACTCGAATGTACCACCTCACGCTCCGCGTCTCCTTCCGCGTGGCAGCGAAGGCGCAGCATCTGTCGCCAGCTACCCCCCAGACCCCGCGCACGCCGTCGCCGCCAAACAGCCAGTCGTCGATAGCGAAAGTGAAACGGTTTGGCCGCCCGGCCGGAGGGTCTGTCTGGCCGAGCGAGGGAGCCATGTGACCAGAGTCTGTCGTCGGCTCTCTCTCCTCTGACGAGAGTCATCGTCGACTCGGCACCTTCGGCGCGACAGCAGGGATTGGTGGGATTTCCAGACGCGAAACGGGAAAGGCCGGGATAAAGTGCTCAGCTACTGTAGATTTGTCGTGAGCATTTTGGGCGTGGTGACTGTTGAACAAGTTGCCTTGCTTCTTTTAACTGCATACCGAAGCGCCTGTGTGCTGAAGAAAATGATAAACTGCTATTTTTTTCCATAAGCTATTATGAGATAAGACGCCTTTAGATAACATTGCTC